TCATCAATAGTCCCTGTACGGAATTTTGCGGCTGATAGTTCAAGCTAAAAAAGTCTCTGAATACTGTCAGTTAAAAAAAAAAAAACACCCTGTATATAATGTAAATGTATACACATGGGTTACAGCTTATTTTTTTAATATAAAAGAAGTGATAGATGCTATAGAAAAAAATTATGTCGTAGCAAATTATTTATATTAATTAGCATTTATTATGAAATGGAAAAACTGGCATCAGTTATTTCTAAGAAACAGTATAGCTTCGGCAAGATCTTTGTTGCAGGGCCATAGATCTGATTTGATAAACTTCAGAGCTGAGAACTTTCCACACTGACTGGAGTAGGAGAAAGAGCTGTTACTGTTAGGGATACTTCCTTCAGGCTAGATTTTTATAAGTTCTAAAAGAGGTGTCTTGCAAGAGACACCTCTCTCTTGCAATTATCTCTATTTCTTCAAAGGCCATGTATAAATCTTGTTTGTATTTTTTCATTTTTATATCTAAGGGTCTTTGTTCTTTATTTTCATTCGCTTTGCCTTAACCTTTTCAATATTATCCAGATATTTCTCAAAATCTAATTCATCAGTGGAAGAGGATGATAGAGACTCGGTTGCAATGTCTGCAGTTTGACTGTCCTAATTCGAATTCTCCAATTGTTCTGAGAATAATTTCATTCTTCATGAAAGTTCATAGATGGCTTTCTTTGCCTTTTTAATTTGTTCGTCATTCAAGAAAATTCAGTGTTTCGGATCTACACATATTGAACCCAGCAAGATCTCATTGTCTAGCAAACTAATTTCTCTTTTCTTCATTGAAAAAATAATTCCTTCTGCAATAAACCCTCCATTTTAGAAAGAATAAACATCACATTCTTCCATTCTCGCCTCCTGCCAATTCTTCAGATTGCAGGCTTTTTTGTGGCTATATACGGTATAGAAAGAAGAGTTTCCAATTCTGCAAGATCATTTCACAGTCATTCTGTTAGTGAACATTAGGGTTTTCTACATCTTCTAAAAAAGTTCTTAATTGTAACAACCTCTTTATCATTAAATATGCATGTACTTCCTTATCGCTTTGCTTGATCAATAATTGCTCCTTTTCCTGCTTGCTTCCTAAGAATGGCATCAATTTTGGGGAGTTCTTGCTGCAATTGCTGCTTACCTAAATTTGCCAGTGAAATTTGTAACTAAATGAATCAGTTTAATCACTAATGGCAAATATCACATCCATTTTCCTCCCTCATATTTATTTATTAATATGTCAATAAAATAAAAAATAACTATTTATTAATGTATATAGTTCATAAATAAAAATAGTAACTCAGTTTGCCATTAATTTGTTTCAATTCATTTTTAATTTCATTTCAAATTCAAACTGTCCAACAAAACTGGAGTCGGAGTCGACCTGTTTTTAGCGACTCCAGCTCCGACTCCTTTTATCCAAAAATCTGCTCTCCAATTCCATAGCCCTTGTGCTTTGTCCCTTTTCCCTGAAAATATTCAAATACATGTGCACAAGACAAAGTTTCATCTCCATAAGCCTTAGTTAACATTTGAAATGTTTCCGTGGCTGATTTCTTAAGTTTCATAAGAAACCTGATGTCGATTTACTGTTTTGGTTTTTACATTAGAAATTTTTTACAGAAGAATGCAGTTGCACATGTTCACTCAATGATGCAGGACTCCCAACTGGCATGATCGGTTAAGTCAAAACTGGCCACATGGATAGTTGGTGTGTGGGATGGCATCACCAAAACAGTTGTTGCCAACTTCATTCTTTTTTCAAGCTACACACTTAGTCTGGTAGAAATTCTACGAGGGTAAGTTCAAAAATAAGTTTTCCCTGTCGACTGTGGTCAGAGTTGTGTATGAAAGTCAAAAAATAGAATGAGACATTAAAGATATGACATACCTTTTATTTTCCCACATAGGTACCAAGTACATTGAGACATTTGTCATATCGCTTGATAATCTTCAAAAAGCCTTCCAGGAAAAAATCAGGGCTTTGCATATGGAAGAAGCGTTGAACGGCTTGTTTCACTTCAGTATTGCTTCCAAAGCGCCTTCCCCCGAGATTTTTCTTCAAAGCCGGAAACAGATGGAAGTCGCTTGGTGCGAGATTAGGACTGTATGACGGATGGTATAGGCGCTCCCAACCAAGGGTTGCAATATGGTTATGCGTTGCCGTCGCCGAATGTGGTCTGGCATTGTCATCCAACAGCAGAACGCCAGATGTGAGAAGGCCAGGCCGCTTTTTCCGAATCGCCTCTTTCAATTTCGACAGGGTGTCACAGTAGCATTGATGGTTCCAACCTCCAAAAAGTCCAGCAACAAAACTCCTTGGGCATCCCAGAAAACTGTGAGGAGCACTTTACCTGCAGAGGGAGTTGTCTTGAACTTATTTCGGACAGGTGATGACGGATGTTTCCACTCCATAGATGCAGCCTTCGATTCTGGCGTGAAATGGTGGACCTATGTTTCATCCCCCGTCACAATCCGAAACAGAAAGTCATTGCCATCTTCATGGTAACGCACGTGATATTCCAGGCTGACCCCCATGCGTTGTTCCTTGTGTGTCGAGGTCAGTTGTCGGGGCACCCATCGTGCTGACACTTTTCTGTATCGAAGAATGTCATGGATGATGTTTTGAGCTTGCTCATGTGAGATTCCAAGTTCTTCCGCTACTTCATCGATGGTGATACGCCGGTTCACTCTGATCATGTCATTCACCTTCTTGACATTTGCATCTGTAGTGGCCGTGCGCGTCCGTCCAGCTCTCGGTATGTCCTCCACTTGCTGACGTCCATCACTGAATGTGTGACACCATCTCCGCACCATTTGCTTCGACATCACACCTGGCCCATAGACTTCCACCAGGCGGTTATGAATTTCTGTTCCTGATACTCCACGTGCCCATTCATAGCAGATAACCGCTCTCACTTCCTCCTTTGACCACGAATTCAAAACGCACCTTCTCTCCATACCTACCAGGGCTCAAATGAGAGGCTGGTCTCCGCTTTGCGCAGGCACTGCAACAGCGCCATCTGCTTGATTTGCAGGGACCTCTACCCAATGGTGTATCGGTGACTTGCGCGTTTTCCTGCTGTGTCGCCTTTCGCCCATAGCCGTTCAACGCTTCTTCCATATGCAAAGCGTGAATTGTTCTTGGAGGACTTTTTGAAGCTTATCAAGCGATATGACAAATGTCTCAACGTACTCGTACGAGGTATGGTACGTAAAGGTATGTAAAGGTACTCGTACGTAAAGGTATGTCATATCTTTAATGTCTCATTCTATTTTTTGACTTTCATACACAACTCTGACCACAGTCGACAGGGAAAAAATTATTTTTCAACTTACCTACGTATGTGTAAAGAATTGCATCACACTTTGTATGATAGAAATTCTATGTTTAAGAATTTTGCATAGTCATATTTTAAGCCTTGCTTATTGACCAGAACAGACAGCAAATTTTGGCTTTCAACGTTTATAAGGCAGATAATACTAAAAGCCAAATAACATATTTGCTTAACCCACTAAGCACTAAAGTTGATCATGATGTTGTGGACAAAGGCAAGAATCCTAACCCTCTCATATTTTCATCTCTTATACCTTAAAAATCAGTTGGTGCAGGATTTACGTATAAGCTACACTACCTTAGGAACCTCCCAAAAAACCCTCTACTATACCTGAAAATCATATTTGGCACTGACATATAATATCCAGACTTATAAAGGGTCCCATATCTGAAATAGCCTAAAGGCCCACCAGCAGCCGCATGGTAAAGTCGCTGAACACTGGTAGTTCGGTCCGAGGTTCGAATCCCGCGAACGGGCTGGCTGCATGGGCATTTTCGTGGTTTTCCCCATGTGTAACCTGTATACAAGCCAGTTTCCCTTAGAAAGTCCTCCACGAAGGCATCCCTCCCCTTGGCAGATAGCCCTAGTGTGCTTTGCCATAATTAAACACACACACTGAAATAGTATAAGGCCTTATCAAGTCTAAATTCGTCCCTGACATCACTGCTAAATATCCAGCAAATCATCTTAATGCACAGTTGTCACTGCCATCATCTTTCCATCAAGGGGCTGTCTTCCTCTCATTTTGGAGACTGAAACTTAATTATATTATTTTTTTAAATTTTAACTGATATTTTTAATTTGCTTTTCTTATTATTTTAGGTTTTTATGAGTACTTATCAGTTTTACTATGAGCAATGATTAATCACCAGATGATAAGCAAACCCAAAACCAATAAGAATTTTTTCTTCCCCCCCCCTCGGATTCAGTTAATGATGATTTTCAGTTTACCACTAAATAAAAATTTCCATATAATTCTGTCTGAATCTTATCTGAGTAGCAAAATTAGTACTGCTGTCTTTTTCATCTATAAATCCTAATAAAGTGAGATTCACCACTTATATTAAAACAATATGCAGAATCCATGTCAGTGAGGAATGAGGTATTCACCTGCAGTTAGTTATCAACAATTAAACCTAAAATGTAAAAATTGTGAGCAAAAAAACCAACCACAGGTGTCTTAATAAACATTTTTATTTTATTTATTTATTTTGTATTATGCTTTAATTAAGGCCTGCATTAATCTGTAACTAGTAATAAAAGTTATAAATAACTACTGAATAAATATGTATGGCTAACTTATGGCAATAAGATATTGAAATATCGCTAATTTAAAAATTTTCAAATAAAATTTCATTTTATAGACCTTGCATGAGTGTTTAGATATATCCTTATGGAAAGAGCTTCATGAGTCAAAAAGTTATTCATCCCATAAAATTTTGCATAGCATGCATAATGGATAATCTTAATAACATTAAGCAGAATCTTCTAATATAAATCTTCGCTTATTATGAATGTGTTTGTGAATTTTTCTATATGCATTTTAGAATTTTTTAATGATTGAACCTAATTTCTATATTTCTCACAGTATAAAAATTGCCATGTTTTTTCCCTTACAGCCACATTTACTTTCTCTCATTTTTTCAGGAATGTGGAAAACATGATCTGCTTTGCATTGTCTACATATTTAATTTTATGGCTTCTTCTATCAGAAAATAATGGTAATGCCACACAGTATGGAAATAATATGTGTATATTTATTGAAGAAACCTACAAGAAAGTGTTTTTTTTTTTTATATATATATATATATATATATATATATATAATATTAATCGGATTTTACAGTGTATATAAAGTAAAAATTTGAAACTTACTATGAATAGCTTGCTGTCTAATAGGAAAGAACAGGTAATAAAAGAACATAGAAGGAGCTGCTTCAAATAGATATAGACATGCTTTGAAAATATTACGATGCTGTTTCTAGACCATTGTAATAAAATAAATCTTACAAAACTAGTATTCTTTAACTACAACATAAGTTACATTTCAAATTTCCACCTAGTAATCTTTAATATGCAATGACATTAAGTCTAAAAATATATATAAAGTATTTTAATTAATATGTAATCTTTTGTTTGGAATCGGAAATCTTAATCATCATTTGAGCCTTTTTCTGATCATGCTTTATTAAGTAATATTTTTAATTTGTATTGTCATTTCAGCTGTATTCACAGTCTCTTTGTCAAGAATGGATTCTATAAGATCACTAAAATAGTAGTAACTTTAAAAGTTTTGATTAGTTTTTCAGGTTAATGGTAATATTTATTAAATTATTTTAAAATAAAATATAAATTATTAATCTTTTCCATTTGCATTGCAGTAGTGTTTTCATTTCTGCTGTTTACAATAGACTTCAAAATCAGTATAAAAATGTTGCACTTTAATGACTTCTGAAGTTAAAGTTGTTAATATAAGAAATTTATTTTAAATCATTTTCAAATTAATATTAAGCCTCTTCCAGCAAGCAATAAGAACATCTATTCCCATTTATTTTAAATAGGTTTAATGTTTTTTCCTTCTCTTTCCTGTTGAATTTCAAAATACAAGAGTCATTGTAATAGTTTATTTAATGAACTTCAGTTCTTAATACTTGCTTAAATATAATGCCCTTGAGGGTTTACCTCTGACAGCCATCTGTACAGATACTTTCAGAGTCTGCTTTTTCATAATTTTAATTTACTTGTATTATTAGCCCTAATATCAAAATACCAAATATAAAGATTTAAGATATATACTATATATATTTATTTAGTCTTCTAAATTGTATTAGGAAAAGACAGTGTTGCATATCATATTTTATATAGTTTTATGCATAAAAATATCTTTTTGTAAACTTTTCTAAAAAATTTATCCATTGTATGAAATTGTTTCGTATTCTTATATTGTATAGCAGTAGTAAGCTAGACCGACTATGCAATGTGTTTATGCCAGTTTATAAAATAAATTACAATTAGGCTATCTTATATTTATCATTTTTCAATCAATAATTTGTGAATATTGTGGTGTACATTTCTAAAATTGTAAAATCTTGTACAAGCATTTTTATTTCTTGTCAGGAGGCTATCCTGGTAGTTTGTTTTGTATAAAATGAGTTTTATTTTGTAACATGTTAATAGTTTTTGACGTTTTAAGATGTAATTTTTCATGTAAAGAAAATGTATTGCTGAAAAATATTGATTCTGCAAATGTTGGGATTCGAAGTATAATCATATGGGTAAATTTATTGTCACTTTATAGAAGGGAAATGTTAGTTATAAATAAATCTCAGTTATTTCCTGCTGAAAAAGAAGTGACTTGTTCAAGCAGGAAGGGGATTTTTTTTTGGGGGGGGGGGGGGGGTAATTGTTTTGAAATCTGTGAAAATTGCAAAAGTAAGAAATACTAAAACTGTAAAAAAATCACTTATCAGAAATATCCTGTGCTATCATATATTTCTTATGGTCTTTCAAAGTTATCACAGATGCCAAGATTACTAGCAGAATGGCTACTTTGGCTGAAAGATAAGTATTTTTTCTCTATGGTACTTCTACAGCAACCATTGTATTGATTAAATCTCAAATGAGGTATGAATACTTAAGGATTAATATTTTTGTGAATGTAATTTTCACATTTATTGACAAATTTGTACAAGATCACATATGTGTTCATATATTCACATATATCCATATAAGATTTTTTAACTATTTATAATTTTAAACACTTGCAGCAATGTTGTGCTTTTATTTTTTGATTTATAAATTATTATAAATATTTAATTTATATCCACATAAACTTTTTTTTTCCAACAAAATGAAGCATTTCCAGAAAATAGTTAACAGCGTTTTAAATAATCATTTTTGTTATAAAATTTGTTAATTAAAATATTTAGTTTCATAAAGTTATTGAGTTTAATAAAAAAATTATGAATATGTTTATTTTAATTTCAATAACTTTTAAGTTAAAGTATATGATGAAATATATTTTCACCACTGTGTTTGCTTTTGCTAATGACAGGGCTTCCTTTCCATCTTTCCATAATGTGCACATTGTGGAAATATGTTTACTCAAATAACTAATGTCTACAGTTTTTTAAGTGTAAGTTACCTTGAGTAGCCTGAGAAACTTCTTTGTTATGAAATTGCAAAATAATTCCTCATCTTCATTCCTGACACAATGTTATACTTTGCTGGAAATTCATATGAATATAAAAATCATCATTAAATATTAATAAATTATTGTTGAAAATGTTCTAAAACATTTTTCTATGTTCTTTTAAAAGTAACAATGTTGGATTTGATTCTTGGCTATAGATTGAGAAGGTAATTTTTCATCCATGTTGACTGTTTTCAGAAAAATATCTGTTAGCCATATTATATATGTAATGCAAATCATTACTTTTTATCTAAAAATAACTTGCATAGATAATTTAATCATGTTGTAATAATGTATTAAAATGTTTATCTAGTCTGTGAATTAAATTATAGATTTTCATACTTTTTTGTGTGCTTTATTATATTTTTACTAATGAAGTTGTATTTCTTAGTTTTAGTTTTCTGTTTTTTATGTAAATTTTTTCTCATCCATTTTTATATATGTTTCTGTATTTCATGTTTTTTAAATAAATATCTGTTTAGTTCTATATTTTATTATATTTGAAGTAATACTCTGTATATGTGATATGTTAAATACTGAACAGATTTAAAGACCTACATAAAGTAAGTTTGCAGTCTCTTTACATAGAGCATAATAAAAAATATTACTGAAGGATCTTGCACATAATAAAAGGTATATCAAGAATGTGATATGTCCTTCAGTATGTGCAAGAAATGTTGTGTATGTTTATGTTTCTAATGTATCAAATAGTATGTCATCTAAGCAAATATTAGCAGGAGCAGTATTCAGTCATATCAAATGATTATCTGAGCAAAATATTTTAGATTTGAAAACAGTGTTACAGTTGACGTAAAAATAAAGATATGGTTTAATATGCAGCTATTGCCTGTTTTCAGAAAGAAAATTGGAACTGCTTTCCATTTGCTTACAAACTAAACAAAAAATTGCTATATTTATGCTATCTCCATAAATATCTTTCTAGGATGATTTTAAATAATTATGTTACTTCCATTAGTTAGTTAATTCAAAATTTATTTAAATGAGATTTATCTCGGAGTACATATGTAAATGATGTGATTGTTAGAAAATAAGAGTACTTTATAAATGCAGATATGATTTTAAAATGTCTTAATTTTTTTTTTCTGGAATGTTTCTAAAACTTTCTAATAATACATATCTTTGAAAAGATTTGCATAATTATTCCTAAATGTAAAATTTATGTAATGTTCAGCATTTATTAGTCCATAATAGAAAGTTTTTAAATTTTTTTTAAAATTGTTATACTGTTATGTTTAATTGCATTTATAACTGACTGCTTACATATTAAAATAAAAATTTTGTGAGTGAATATACTATATTATTGTCCTCTCACTGTTTTCTGAACAATCAGCATTGTTAGAATATGTGGAAATATTGAAGTAAAAATCTGTGTTAGTAGTACATGTTTACCAGCATTCTTTTGATATTCAAACTGTAATCAGTTCTGTAATTCCCATGAATTTGGCTCAATATCTCACATAGATATACTTTTCTCTTCCCGCGGGAAGACAAAAAAAAGGAAATATCATTCATATTATTTAAATGTAATATGTTTATGTTAATGAATCTCCAAGTATCGTAATACTTTTGAAATTTTCTGTTTTCTGTTTAAACACAATAGTTTCATTTTACATAATATTCATTAACTTAAACTACATATCATTTATAAATTCCATGTTTTTTAATATACTGTGAAACGATAGTTAATATCTTTTAAAAACGGAACTTTTCTTCTGCAGATGAATAGTAGAACCTTTGCATACAAATCTAATTCTAATTCATCGTCTAGCTCAAATTTATTTTCAGTTACTTTTTGAGTCTTTGTTTTAAATAAGTTGTATAATATTGTAAAATTTTGCAAGTAGTATTATCTCTATATGAAAATTGATCTAGATAATTGTAACAAGGATTGAAGAAAAGGAATAACATATTTGATGCCACTGTTAAGAGTACTTTACAAATCTTATATATTTATACAAAGTACTATAATAGCACAATTTCCAAAAAAAGAATTTCCTTATGTATGACAAAATTTAAGTTTTCAGACCAGTCATAATTTTGACTGGTGTGTAAGATTCAACAGTATACAAGTTTGTATGAAAGATGATTATGTAAGATTTAACTCATTGCATCTGCTGTATAATTAAACTTCTTTATGAATATTTTTAAAAGCATAGACTTACTAATGATGATGTGCTTAATTTTCATTATTGATATTAAGGAACCTTTCGTAAAACATTTAAATGTGAATTTGAAGAACCAGTTGGATACTGAATTATATTTAAAACTTGCTTTTGAAGTGTATGCATGTACTAAGAGGTAGGTTTTTGAGTGTCATGAAAGCAGTCCATAGTATTTGTTTGCTATCTGTTATCTAAATTTAATTATTGTATAGAACTATACAATTAGAATTAATATAGTTTTTCTACATTTTGCAATAAAATCTGCCTGTTGTAATTTAATTTTGTTAAAATATGCATAAATTTTATTAATACTTGAATTATATCAGTGCTAATAAGAGTGCACTTGATGTTATATGAGCCTAAGTATATATATATATATTGGAGCTTCTTTTCAAACTTTTGACGCCTTATTTGACAAAATACATTTTTGTACTTATTGCTGCCTTATTGCATATCAGATACCTGTAATTTTCATAGTTAGACATATGACCTTGTATTACATCACATAGCTGATGGTTGTTTTTACATTTTTAAAAGTTATATATACATATGAATAGAACTGATGTATTATAAGGGATAGTTCACTGTATGCCTTACAATATTAAATTAATACCTATTTTCCTATTTTTTCTTAAACAGGTAAATTGTGTATGAAGTGTAAAAAGTATGAAATAAAATTTATGATAATATTTTAATCTTTTTGTTTGTGGAATTTTCATCCTTTTTGTGTGTGTGACGCATCTGAGAATGTTAAATATTTTTTATTGTGCATTCCGATTTTTGATGCTTTCAGTGCTTTTTGCTGCATTAAATAGGAAGCGAAATATTCCAAAGTAAAACTTTAAAGTAAGCAGAAGAGCAGCCTTGTTTTGATGTGTTTTTCGATGGACATTTATTTAAAATCTGCTGGTTTAGACTGAAATAGGGTTGCTGTTTTGCCTAACTTTAAGTGCATGTTTAAAATATTTTAATACAGTACAAAGTCCGAGATCTGAACGTCCAATATCCAGAATGATCTAAAATCCAAACCTCAAAATCACCACTTTTTTTTTTTTTTTTTTTTTTGGTTTGTTTGTATGTTTTAAGCATGCGCATTTGATTTTTTGCCCCCATAATAAATATGTTGAGAGTCCCGATTCTTATATTAACTTCAGCTACTTTAAATAAATATACCTCATTATTGAAGAAACAATTTAAATAATTAAATAATAATAATAAATTTGTGTGATCAATAATTTGGCTCCGTAGATGTGTATCTCCTTGGCATACATCTGAAACCGAAAGATCCTAGATAGAAACATCGTTTATTTTACACCTACTAGCATTTTATATCCGTGAAGCCAACCTGGCGAATCATTAGTTATTACATTTTGCTTTCAGTGGGTGGTCACCACTGTATGTAAGGTTTCATTTATGTTTTTTTCTGAAGCAGATGGATGAAAAAAAATCGGTATATAAGTTTATCTCGTTCTTTGTCGACTGGAATTTAATATCGAAAGTAAAATATAATTTCTCTCTCTCTCTTCTTTTTTTTTTTTTTTTTTTTTTTTTAGTTATTCTGTTACGAAACGAAATAATTTTTTTAGTTTCAAAGAAATGAAAAAGGAAGTGCAATATTTTATGAAAGATTTAATGGAAACTTTTCTGGCTAATTCTAATTTAATTTATTTTGACATAAAAGAATAAAAGAACATATTTTTAAAAGGTCTAGTTTTGTTCTTTGGTTCCAATATTGATGTAAAACCATATTTAAAAAATAAGTTTTTTTGTCAAGGAAATTTTTTTTAATGCAGCTAGGGCAAGACTGAAACGTGAAGAAAGAGGCACCAATAAACGCGATGAACTATTAATTTAAGAGTAAACAAACAAAACAAAAAAAAATCTAAATCAGCTAGACCAGAAGGAGCAAGTTTGTTTATTACTGCGAATAAAAATTTGTGTCAAACTCTTATCATGCTCACAAAATTAAACGCATTGGAGCCTAGTAACTGATGACGTGGGGTAATAGTAAAGTTAAATAATGAAGCATCATAAAATCCTGTTATTTGTAAAGCTGCTGTTTTATTACGAGTGTTAACTTATTAATTTTAAAATTATGCTTAGATTACTGTACAGAATATCATTGTTTTTAAAACCGTACTGGGAAAAAAAAAATAGTGTGTTTAAAACTATTCCA